TATCCCTTAACACAACTTGCTTCACACCCAAAACACACATACACACTCTTCCTCCACCACACACAACACACACACAACAACACCCAACAAAGCCCACACACTCCCTTACACTTACCACACACATCCACCACCTCACTTACCCACACACACTACACGCACCACGCCAAAACGGATGGCTTAACTACCCGCAGTCACACATTCCACGTTGCAAGGTTAAGTGCTAATGTCCCTTTCACCAGGTGCAATGGGGGCAGTGCCAAGCAAATCATCATTATTATTATGATCATTTAAAAGCAACACTCACTCGCTGAAATATACCGACGTGGCCGCCGAAGATTCATATCTCCGTAGGGTATTTCCGGCCGTCGTTCAACAGAGTTCGAAATGAGTGAAAACCCCCCTCGAAAAGCCACAGAAATTCACCACCGACAAAGAAGTCACAAGACGTGCACGTTCTCGTGTTGTTTTCACCAAACCTCACTGTGGAATTCGCGGCTACCACGGTCCCGGATGGCCAGTTGCCGCACGGGATTTTTCTTCGGGGCGGGAATGATTGAATATATTTGTTTTTTTCCGTTTATTGTGGGGTGTTGATATGGATTTTGGTGATTGATTTTTTATGTGTTTAGGGGTGGGTGGTGTGGTCATTGAAGATGGGTTGGAGTGGTTCGTTGTGCTTTTTGGTTCGGTGTTTAAAATGGTTTATTTATTTGGCATCTGGTAACTCTGGTAGCTATGGCACGCGTTTCGTTCAGAAAACGATACGAAAATCGGAAAAATTATCGTTTGACGCCGATTATATATCGTGGATCCTTATATATACATTATCCAGAATAAATAAATTAAGCATAATTACTTATCCCCTAAATGTCGTAAGATAATGGACAATACTGAATACAGAAGGGAATTCGTCATGCCACAATGTGTACCAGAATTGTCTAGTCTCTCCACACATCGTTTACTTGGAATAACTTGGAAGGTTATGCTTCACCATGGCAACTGGGATGCAGGAATGCGCGGGACTGGGCACGTGCGTACTTATCGCATGTAATGACCGGCCTTCTAAGCATATACTATAGCTGGCGGCCTAGAAATATGCAGAAAACATGTGTTAACCGATGATAATCTCTTGTTCGTGCAACAAAATGGGGTTATCCATATGTCTCGACATTCCCGTGAGGATAATACACCTAGACACAGATCAGGAATGCTACCCCTATTATCATATGATTCCTTTATCCAAAAAATATTACCTGTAAACAAAACAAACAAGTGGAAACCAAATCCAGCACGGACGTCAACACGACAAGCATTTAAATCTTGGCCGGGAAATGTTCCGTCTGAGAGATGAAATGTAGAACAGTGTGGGTTCCAGGTGCGGCGCTCTCTCTCACGATCAATGCTGGCTCTCGAGGACATACCAAGCAGGTGTTCCGAGGACGCATGTACGCACGCACCGAGGACCTTATGCAAACACCTGTAGATTATCAGTGTAAACATTAATAAACGCATAATGGTGTGCAGTATATACAACCTGCATTGCATTTGTGTGTTTTGAGGGCAGGGGGGGGGGGGGGAAGGAAAGACAAACGCAGCACTGCCCAACAGCCTCTCAAACAGGATTTGATACAGGCCTAAATCCTGCAGTGGAATGTTACAGGTTGTGCATATGTTTTATTGTATATATATATATATATATATATATATATATATATATATATATATATATATATATATATATAATAATATAATATATATATATATATATATATAATATATATATGTATATATATATGTATAATATATATGAATATATATGTATATTTATACATATATGAATATAATACATATGTGTGTGTGTATATATATATATATATATAATAATATATACGTATACATATATACATATACATATATATATATATATATATATATATACTATATATATATATATATATATATAATATACATATATATAATATAATATATAATATACATATATATATATATATATATATATATATATATATATATATAGTATATATATATATATATATATATATATATATATATGCGCATATATACATATATATATATACGCATATTTTATATATATATATATATATGTATGTGTGTGTGTGTATGTATGTTTTATGTATATATATATATATATATATATATATATTATATATATATATATATATATATATATATATATATATATCCGTGTGCGTGTGTGTGTACACACACACACACACACACACACACACACACACACACACACACACACACACACACACACTATATATAATATATATAATATATATATTATATATATATATATATATGTGTGTGTGTGTGTGTGTGTGTGTGTGTGTGTGTGTGTGTGTGTGTGTGTGTGTATGTGTGTGTGTGTGTGTGTGTGTATAGATAGATAGATAGATATATCATACACACACAAATAGAAGTATGTGGGCCATGCAGCATATTTCTTCATCTATATTTATCAGATAGACTACATAACTATCCAAAATATGCGGAAAAGTCAGATGCGTTCGATACCTGACATATTACACACGCGCACGCACAACACTCTTTAAATCCGTAGGAAACCATAGACTAAATAAT